AATAAAATATATTATTTTTTAAAATAAATAAAATAATTACCAGCTAAATAATCACTTTCATTTATAGGTGGTGCAGATCGAAATCCTCTATTTGGTAAAGTAGTAGTAGATGTGGTTTGCTTATTAATTAAAGATGAACTATTTTCATCAGATGATTCAGTAGAAGATGAATTTTCATCTGATAAAGATTGTTGAAAGTTATTATTGTTGGTTGTATTAATCGTATTACTAGAAGATAATACTGTTCGAGAACTTCTTGTTGAAAACGCTGTCTTTTTATTTTTTGGAGGTATTATGTTTTTGTGTTTTGGAGGAGCAGAAATACTCTTTTCACGTACTTCTTTTAATTTAGCCTTACGAAAAGTTTTCACTATAAAAATATATTTATAATAATATATATATTGGGCGTTATTTTATAGCAACCCATCGCCATGGTGACTCCATGATCGACCAATGATGCTTGGTCATGTGAATCACGTGACCTTACAATCGTGTAATCTTTATAAAAAAAATTCTAAGTTTTATTTATTTTTTTTTATTAAAAAAAAAAAAAACTTCGTTATGCAACAAACGTCGTTACATAACAAACTACAAAAAACTAAAACAGCTACATAAAACCCGCCACCCACCCACTATATTTATTCAAAAAACTCCACCCAACCTCCTACTGTTTAAAGATAACACCGATACGACGACTCCACGTCGGAAGATTTCATAGAAGATTTTAGCGAAGAATCCAAAAAAAGTTCCAATAGAGAGTCCAATGAACAATCAAATGAAACTTCCAATGAATACTCTAACGAAACTTCTAACGAAACTTCTAACAAAATTTCTAACAGCGGTCCAACGGCGGTCTAGCGACGGCTCCAGCGACGACTTCAGCGACGACTCCAGCAACGATTCCAACGACGATTCCAGCAACGACAACTTCAAAACTACGATTCCGGTAACAGCGAATTACACCTAGAGAGAAGAATAAAAAGAACATTAGTTCAAGGTAAGAGAAAAATAAAACTACAAATAAATACAAAAAATAACAAAAGAAAAAGCGAAAGAAAGCAAGGATGAAAGAAAAAAAGATAAAGTGAAAAGAACAAATGAAGTAGAACGAAAGAAAAAAGGAAAGGTGAAAAGAAAAGCGATAAGATGAATTAAACAAAGGGAATAAAGACAAAAAAAAAGGAAAGACGAAAGAAACAAGGAAAATAAAAAGAAAGAACGAAAAAGAATAAGAAGAACGAAAGAGAATGGGAAGAACGAAAGAGAATTGGAAGAACGAAAGAGAATTGGAAGAACGAAAGATAAAAGGAAGAATAAAGAGAAGAACAAAAGAAAAGGAAAAAACAAATGAAAGAGAGAAGAACAAAAGAAAAGGAGACAAAAAAAAGAAAATACAAAAAAAAGGGGAAGACAAAGAAAACAAAAAAAGAAAAGACGAAAGAAAAAAAGAATACAAGAAAAAAAGAGTGAACGAATAAAAAAAACATGAAATAAAACAGAAAAGAAAAAAAGCCAGAAAGAAAAAAAAACGAATGTAGTAAAGAAAAAGAAAGGGACGGGAATGAAATTAACGAAGAAAAGAGAATGGAAAGAATAAGAAAGAAAAGAATGAAAAAATGAAATGAATGAAAAAAAACAAATAAGAACGAAAGAAAAGGATAAAAGATGAAGGAATGGGAAAAAGGGCAGGAAGAAAAAGAACGTAAGTAATAAGAAGAATAGACTGATGAAAACAAAAACAAACAGAAAGAAAAAAGAACAGAAGAAAGAAGAAAAAAAATAAAGGTAAGAAAAAAAATAAAAGAAAACGAAGAAAAAGCAAAAAAAAATAAACGAATAAAAAAAAAGCGAAGAAAAAAAAAATCAAAAAAAAAATCAAAAGATGTTAATTCTAATAAAGAAAAAAAAAAAAAAACTAAAAAAATTAAAAGCACATACCTTATCCCGGAGTTGAGCGAAAGTTAAAAAAGACAAAACATGAGCGTAGAGGTTGGAACCGGTTTTAATAATTCGGGTTTATCACGTGAATTTTGTGATATTTTAGAATTTATTAAATT